TTTTTGACAGCAATATAGTTAGTGTGAAAAAAAGAAAAAGTGTTTTAAAAAGAAAAAAATAAAAGTAACCTAAATTTTTTTTTTAAATTGCAATTTTGTTTTAAAGGAGAACTATGAGGGGAGTGCTTTTCACTCACCTCATAGTTCTAGCCGACCTAGGGTGACGGGAGGACGCTAGTTTGTGTCCTTCCATTACCCTGAGGAGAACTATGAGGAAAAGCCTTAACCCCATAGTTCCCCGCCCCTAACATGCACTCACATACATACGCAAACACGCGTGGATGTGCCTACGTGTTACATATTGCCGCGAACGCCCGAGTGAAAGCAATAATTCTAGGGCCATGAATCACTGTTAGCACAAAACTGATAAGCAGTAAAACCTTTTAACGTTTCCTCTGTGGGCAAACGCAATTTTAAGGCTTGACATGTTTGGTATCTATTTATCCGGCGTGACCCCAGCTTTTATATTTTACCAAAAAATTGGGTCTTATATTCTGTTTCGGCACACTAAATCTCATTTTAGTGTATTTTATCCCCAAAATACTGGTTTGATAAACATTTGCGCAAATATCGTGCGACGTAAAAAAATTGCAACTAGCATCTTTTGATTCTACAGGGCCTCCGCTTTCAGAACATAGATCATTGTTTATCATGTGTGTGCAAATGTAAGAAATTGCTCTGGGCAGCAAGTGGTTAAAGAATATCTAAGGGCCGGTGCACACCTATGCGACACCCTGCCGCAAGTCAATCGAGCACGATTCAGCGCGGATTGCTGCGCGGTCAGGAGTCGTACAGGTGTGCACCGACCGCGCTGTGGGTGTCATTATTTTCCAATCGCACCCCACTTCCGCCGGGCGGATCGTGCGTTTTCCCGCCGGCTAAAACAGCCGCGCGTCATGTATCGCAGGAAAAAGGTACACATATCGTGCCTAGGGAAACCGCGCGATCCACCCGGTGCGACTGGGGTGTCATTGGAAAATAATGGCTCCCGCTGCGCGATCTGTGCACACCTATACGACTCCTGACCGCGCAGAATCGTGCACCGGCCCTAAAGAGTAGAACACAAAATGTGATATATTGTAGCCTGCAGGCCCTTAGATGAGGAGGATGCATTTGTGTTCCTTTTTTTCTCAGGCCAAGTACACTTTCTTCCTTGATCCTGCAAAGAATCCAGTGTCTCTGTAATATTTTCATGTACTGAACTAAAATCTCAACCAAGGTTATCAATCTTCCCAGCTATCTTCTACAAGACAACTACCCTCTATGTAATAAAGGAGGTAGGTGATTGTAGTCCAAATGAGCAGCCTAGGGTGACAACGCTGATCCTCCATAGTTACCGTGCAGTGATTAGTGATAAGCTGGGGCTTGGTGTGAAACCAGTTAGTCTGAGTCTACCCAAGCCCACACAGTGCCCGCACCCCCCCCCTGTACTTTGTATAATCCTCTGCATTCCAGATATCAGGCTTGGAAATTGGAGGGTGTCATAATGAAAGCTCATGCTTCCAGCCATGGGGGCTGGAAAGAAAAGCAATTAAAGCTGAAATCTGGGCCTCAGGAAACACGCAAGAACAAAACAAAAGAACAGCGCCTTCTCCTCGTCAAATACTGTTTATTTATCCAAATAAAAACTGAATAAAACATACTCACAAGCGGCGTCTGTTACACAGCATTTCAGAACAAACCTTCCGGACTGGTGTACCGAAATCTGTATTGGGCTGAATGGTCAGACAATTAAAAATTGTGAGCCCGAGCATTAGTCTTGCTGACGCGTTTCAAGGGTTTGGAATCTGGGCCTGTTGTCTGCACCAAATGCCTATACCAACCCAGATATTACCTTGTACAACTAGTGGGGATATCATCACTGTGCTATACATAGTCTGTGCAGAGAGCAGAGCTGTGGGTAGGACCTAGCAGGCCCCACCCACTACAGGCTGCCTGCATAAAACTACAGGAAGGGGGCAGAGACAAGACCAGTCACCCTGCACAAGGAGAGGGAGTAGTAGCGACTGGTCTTTATTACCGGGAGGGGTGGAGACAAGACCAGTCACCCTGCACAAAGAGAAAGAGAGAGCAGCAGTGAGCGGTCTTTATTATAAGAGGGGGCGGAGACAAGACCAGTCACCCTACACAAGAAGAGAGAGCAGCAGGGACCGGTCTTTATTATAAGAGGGGGCGGAGACAAGACCAGTCACCCTGCACAAGGAGAGGGAGTAGTAGCGACTGGTCTTTATTACCGGGAGGGGTGGAGACAAGACCAGTCACCCTGCACAAAGAGAAAGAGAGAGCAGCAGTGAGCGGTCTTTATTATAAGAGGGGGCGGAGACAAGACCAGTCACCCTACACAAGAAGAGAGAGCAGCAGGGACCGGTCTTTATTATAAGAGGGGGCGGAGACAAGACCAGTCACCCTGCACAAGGAGAGAGAGCAGCACTGATCGGTCTTTATTACAGGAAGCTCCAAGTCTCACACTGGATTACTGCACACATCTGGAAGAAATACACAAAGCTCACCAAGATTCAGGAAGAATACACAGGACTCTTGTACGAGGACAATATTTTCTCATCCCGGAGACCAGCTTACATGAGGGGAAGGGAACACAGGCAGCACCCTTAGCAGAGTAACACTTACTCATGGTGCATTGAGCAAGGAGGACATTGGACAGGAAGTTAGAACAGTAGAGTCACCCTTAGTCTACACATTGTGTTGGACTTACAAGACCAACTGAACAGAACTGTAAACAGATCACAATGATGTATTTTCACAATGTCCTTCAGCTTTTTGTTCCACTTTAGCAAAAACGGAGAGAGAAAATAACCCGGTTTTAGCTTTACCCAACAGGACGGCCCACCCTATAAACCTCGTTCTCTCCCTCAAGCCGAGGTGTCGCTGTAAAACTGTTTAGCATGTCAAGTAAAATCGCTCAGTGACAGGTTTACATTTTGGCATGCCGGATGAGATGTTCCCAGTTCTGGATGAAAAACAGCTTATGGAGACATAACAAAGACTTGGATCAGCCGAAAAAAGCTTTTCAAGGATTTAAGGTTCATTAATAAATACTTAACACCGACTCCAGATAAGATCTCTGTTGTGCTGTTTGCCGGCCATGCGTTCAACAACAGCGTGTCTTGTACATCGCCGGACGGATGCGCGGAATGCCTTGCCGCAAGTTACGCGAGCCGAGTCTGGACTCTGGAGTTGTAAAGTCTCAGCACATCCTCTCCTGTTATTACATCAGCATTGTAATAGGAATACATAGTAGAGTTGTTTGTGATAATACAATCAAAGCTTACTGGAAAAAATCCCTTTTATATAGTGAGTGCTGCCTTCCGTCTGCCCATCACTTCCATCAACTTCCTGGATTCCCAGTGTGCTTTGCGTCTCTTTCCTTGCTGCTTTATATGACGCAATCTCCATTTCTCAAGACTACATATCCCATCATGCATTGCTTCCAGCAAGCAATGATAACGTGACATTGTTCAGACACTGAGTTGTAGTTCAGAGGGTGGGCTCTGGGAGAGCGGTGACATCAGGAAGCGCAAATTCACAGGGCTGAGTGAAATGGTGTCAGTGCATTGAGGAAGTCCATCCTATGGGCATCTTCAATAAGTAAGTTTATAAACTTCTAGATGGATATGGTTATTAGGAGCGGGATAGAAACATACTATAGAAATACACATTTATTTTTGGTTTTTGACCGTAGATACCCTGCAATTTAAAATGGAACTAAACCACAACTAGGAGAACAGTACGTTAGCTAAATCACTGTTTATTATAAACAGTTGCCATGTTTTTTTTTTCTTTTTCATCCATTTTTTTTATATCTGACTAGTGCTTTCTCCTCCAGCCTTTTGCAGCCACTTCCTGTCTACGTGCACTCCGTCCAGTGTAGAATATAAATCACTGTGCTGGGCCGGATTCCTAACAGTGACAACAGTAAACCTTGCCCGTGAAACACATTGGCACGGTCACTTGTAATCTGCACCAAGAACACGTGACAGGGCGACAACAAAAGAGCACAGATTTGAGACAGCTGGCACCTCATGACATAGAATACAGGAATGGTGCAGCAAATGCATCACTGTCAGGGCTGAGATAATGGGCCGGGTGTGGAACCCCTTGGCAGGGACGAAATATGTCCAAATGTGCAGCACAAAATGGTAATCCAAATAGAGTAGTTAAGTCCAGTCCCGGGTCGTGGCGGGCAGCAAGAATCGTAGTCGAAGGGTCGGTAGCCGGGAAGTCAGATCAAATAACAGGTTTATACAGGAGGGAGCTGGGTGTTCACCATGAGGTAGAATAACTCAGCAATGGGTCAAGGCTCTGACCAGCTTTATATAAACAGGGAACCAAGGACCGGCCCTGGCTGCCAGGGCAACCAGGAAGCTTCCCCAGTCAGGAGCCAATCGCAAGGCCGAGGGCAGTTGGTGAAAGCTGAAGTCCTCCCCCAGCCTGAGTAGCACCTGGGATGTGGGATGGCGCAGGCGCACCATGCGCGTGCTTCCGGGCATGCGCGCGGCTTGCGTACCGCGCACGCTCACCGGCCACACCAGCACCAGATGCTCTGCCAGGAGGAGGAGCCTGTGCCCGATGCCCGTGCCGGGGAGCCTGGTAAAAAACGGCCCCCCTGGGTCCCTGACAATCACTCAATCGAACCAGGTATTATCTTAAAGCTGCAGATTTACTAAGATTAAAGGCAACTCAAGTAGCATTAACATGTCGAAGCTTATATGAGATTTCAGTTAGGGATGCACCGATACGCATACTAGTATAAAGGTGCACAATGATTTTCCCCAACTTGAGTGCTTGTTACAGCTAGCAAACCTTGCTCCCCAAAGCCTCAGTGAGTCTTTCGAATAGCTGTACATCCAGTCTCCAGTTTGTGAATTATTATATTCGCCTGCTAGTGCCAACAGAACTTACAATCAGGGATGCAGAAAGCTAAAATCAGGTTGTGGCTGTGGGCGGAACTTACATAGTCTTCTCTTTCAATGATCACTCACCTTAGAAAAACGTATCAGAAGACCGTAAACCAACACATCGGATTTTTGTGCTTCTTTGGCGAAGTCTCGGATCCCACTTAGGTCCTGCGTTCCGCTCTGATCTGGAAAATCCAGATGGACCTTGAAGGAAAGAGAAAAGTAATACAGAAATAAATAAATAAAGCAAACATGACAATGAAGAAGCCTCTGCTTAGTCCAAACATTCAATGGAAAGATTCTAAAAAATTAATTTTTGGAAGTATGCAATGGAGGAATACAAGCACAGGGTCTAAGAAAAAAAAAAAAGTACACATTGAAAACTGGATAGTTCATTAGCATGTTGGTGGGGTGGGGCCAGAGAAGGCAAAATATAGCAGATTAAACTTCAGCTTTAGCTAAATTGGTCGGATCTGTGAAGATTGTTATCTGTCTTATAATCATAAGACATAATTATAAGACAAATTGCATTTGACCGGAGTACTCCCAGGTACACTCTTTCTCCCATGTTCTTTGAGACTAGCCTCTAGGGCACAAATGCCGTCACACAAGGGTGAGGAACTCGATAGGTTGAACTCGATGGACTTGTGTCTTTTTCCAACCTGATTAACCATGGAAAGAGGCGTCAGGCCTGTATATCCTCACAGTTGTGGCTTATGGCTTATACAGGGATTCTTCTCTTAAATCATCTCCAGCATGGGAAAGCACAAGTCTTCTTTAGAAGCAGTCCACCCAAAAACCTCCCCATAGCCTGACAAGGTGGTCAAATATACTGCCATGATCCAACTGCTCAAGCAAAGCTATCATCCAGCTGCAGCATGACCATGGACACTCACCTCCGTGTTTATGCCAATGCTGAAGCCACCATCTCAGAGATCACCAACAATTGGCCAAGATTGGCCAGGATCTTGGTGTTTGACTTACCGGTTCTGCACTGTTGTCACTGCCCCTATGAGGTGGCCACTCATTTATTCTATGAGGGTGATATGTAAAGGGCCTCCATGTCTATAATTAGTGACTGGATTGGAAAATGTAAATAAATTAGACACAGGAATAATATTTGGAAATGGTCTTTACTGTAGTGATGTATATTCATTTTCCACAATCACTAGATAACTGTACACATTTTATCTAAGGATAACCAAGTTTTGTCTTGGATGCATGGTGATGTCCATGAAGGATTCTCAACTTCTTCTTTCACAAATGTTTTATTGAAATGTTCCTAAATGAATATTTATAAGTAAACAGACACGGATAGACAAAGATATAGATACAAGCAGGTCCCCAAAATGCAATACATGACAAAGGTGTATAGTAGACTCACAGGGAACAAGAGGGCAAGGTAACACTAGGCAATTGAAAGCCAGCACAACAGCAGCAAGAGCCACAGAATTGAATTATAAGACAAGGGACCAGGTAATTGAGTAGAAGAAAAAGAAGAGAAAGAAGAACTAGGGAGAAAGGGGGGGGGGGGGATGAGAAAGAAGGACATCAGTGTTGTTGAGATAAAAGGATCAAATGGACTAAGAAGTAGGGTCAAAGGATGGGGGTCTGGAGTATGTTACCTACGGCTGCCAAATAGACAAAAAGCGGTCATGTTTATCCTCCAGTATCGCAGCGAGCTTCTCATTAAGCAAAATGTAATTAATGCGATTCTTCACTGCTTCGAAGCTCAGGGAGGGAGATTTCCAGGCTCTAGCAATGGTCATCTTGGTAGCTACAAAAATATGAGTAATGAGGATTCGCTCAAAGCGGAACAAGGTCTGGATAGGTCTAAGCAATAACGCCTCGCAGGGATCCCTATGAAGGGAAACATTGAGAAGCATACGGATTAGGTATAAACCCTAACCCACAATTTAGTGGCACTAGAGAATACGTGTCAAACTCAATGCCCACGGGCCAGAACCGGCCTACGACGGAATTATCTCTGGCCCACCTGATGATAATTAATTATCATTAGGTCTGGCCCTGCCTGCCGGCAGCTCTCTCACACTGCGATCTTCGTGGGACTGAGGAGCCGGAGAGCTGCCGCCGGCCAGAGGACTGCATTACCCAGCAGGCAGCAGCACAACGTGACAAGGGAGGTGTGGCCGTGAGGTGAGGTGACTGAGGGGGGTCCTATGGTCCAGTTCAGATGACGTGAGGTGCTCCTGGGTGGGAATCAGGATCCAACCCAGACGACAGAGAGCCAGGAGAGCTGCAGCCTGCAGGTACTGTTGAAGTCATGGAGAAGAGGGGGAGTGATATACTGAAAGTAGTATCTGTGACACCTGTGTACCTCCCACCTCCACACTAGTATGTAATCTAATAGTTTTATCTCTATTATTTAAATTATAGTAAAAATGATGTGGGGGGATGCTCAATGGGGACAGTATGGAATCCATATTGTCCCAAGTGAGCATCCCCTTAACATACTCTTTTTTTTACTGTAATTTAAATAGAGATAAAACTATTTGTTAAAACATCTCTAATTGATGATTTTCCTGATCCCCTACTGATATCTCCCCTGCGCAATGAGGAGAGAAAGCAGGGGAAGAATCCACAGAAGAGGGCACCAGATGGAAAAACTTTTTCGTAAGTAAATTCTTTTGTTGTAAATGCTCTGTGCTATTTAATGTCTGTTTTTGGCTTTTATCATTTAAATGTTTAGGCTATTTCTTAAATGGAAAGTAAATAAAAAGGTAAAAAAACAAAAATGTTTTATTGTAATTATGTAACATGCTTTTTAATAATTAAAGTACAGGCTTTGGTATATTACACCGCGTGACATACTGTATATGCCGCTGTATTATACTGTGTGAACCAGCCCGGCCCTCGACTTGGAGCATTTTTTAAATTTTGGCCCACTGTGTATTTGAGTTTGACACCTCTGCCCTAGAGCAAGTCAACCAAATGCGAAGCATTGTTCCCAGATGTGAGAAGCCATGAAAACAATTCGGGAAATATGAAGGAATACATTTTGCAAGGCGGCCCAGAGTAAAGTGCCATCGTAACAATACCTTATCGGAGTTCTCCAAAATCAACACATTCCTAGATGATTTAGCCACAGCAGCCTAGATACCCTGCCAATCATCATGAGACAAAGAAATGCCAAGATCCTCTTGCCATCTACACTGATAAGGTAAAAGTGAGGAAGCGGAGGATTCTCAACTTCTTCATTGGGTGCATAGTGATGTCCACATGGATTCTCAACTTCTCCATTGGATGCACAGTGATGTCCACGAAGGATTTCCAACCTCTCCAATAGATGCATAGAGATGTCCACAAAGGATTCTCAACTTCTCCATTGGATGCACAGTAATGTCCACAAAGGATTCCCAATTTCTTAATTGGGTGCATAGTGATGTCCACAAAGGATTCTCAACTTCTTCATTGGATGCATAGTGATGTCCACGAAGGATTCCCAACCTCTCCATTGGATGCGTAGTGACGTCCATGAAGGATTCTCAACTTCTTGATTGGGTGCATAGTGATGTCCACGAAGGATTCCCAACCTCTCAAATGGATGCATAGAGATGTCCACAAAGGATTCTCAACTTCTCCATTGGATGCACAGTAATGTCCAAGAAGGATTCCCAACTTCTTCATCAGGTGCATAGGGATGTCCACAAAGGATTCTCAACTTCTCCATTGGATGCACAGTAATGTCCAAGGAGGATTCCCAACTTCTTGATTGGGTGCATAATGATGTCCATGAAGGATTCCCAGCCTCTCAAATGGATGCACAGTAATGTCCACAAAGGATTCCCAATTTCTTAATTGGGTGCATAGTGATGTCCACAAAGGATTCTCAACTTCTCCATTGGATGCACAGTAATGTCCACAAAGGATTCCCAACGTCTCCATTGGATGCACAGTAATGTCCACAAAGGATTCCCAACTTCTCCATTGGATGCACAGTAATGTCCACAAAGGATTCCCAACTTCTCCATTGGATACACAGTAATGTCCACAAAGGATTCCCAACTTCTCCATTGGATACACAGTAATGTCCACAAAGGATTCCCAACTTCTCCATTGGATACACAGTAATGTCCACAAAGGATTCTCAACTTCTTCATTGGATGCATAGTGATGTCCACGAGGGATTCCCAACCTCTCCATTGGATGCGTAGCGACGTCCATGAAGGATTCTCAACTTCTTGATTGGGTTCATAATAATGTCCACAAAGGATTATCAATTTCTTCATTGGATGCACAGTGATGTCCACAAATGATTCTCAACTTCTCCATCGGATGCACAGTGATGTCCACAAAGGTCTTCTTTCATTGATGGAAAATTCTGGACTTTATGGTGAATGCGGCAGAGTGGTGAGATGCAGACTCTCAACTACTTTTGAGGAACCTATAATGCATGAACCTTCTGATATCCAAGAATAGCAATCATGTGATCCCCAAGCTCTTGCCAAACGCGGATTCTCATGGAAATGTCTTGCTTAGTTCTATGCCGATTAACCTTAATTAGTTCGTTAACACCTTCACAAGTCTGCTGCACCTTTGTTTGTCACACAGTGCAGATACTACCTACCCGCCATCTTTCCAACTTGAAGCACAATGCTCACAGCTATCTCTATATACAGCTTGTCTGTGAATTTAGTTTGAAGCAACACTTTCTGTCATCAGGAATTTAATTACGATGCTCGGCGGGTTTTCGAACATGTCCGTAAGTTTAAAGTCGTGCGACCTTACAGTAGTAGAGGTCGCACGGCTTCCACACACCTTACGATCATCGTACGATCGCGGGATTTCCCGCGATTATCGTACGGTGTGTGGGCACCCTTAGAGAAACAAGCATTCATTATAATGGCCTACTGCCAGCTGAGGTGATAGAAGAGAACCTACACAACGTGTCAGCACTTGTCACATATCAGTGCTGCCATCTGTTGATGAGATAAGAAAGTGGAGGCATTCATTTTCATTCAACCCTCGTATATATTGGAGAAAACAATACACCCCTCCTGTGGCAAAAGGAATTAGAATCCCAGATGCATAGGAGCAGTGCTGGAAACAAACTAAGGGGGGTATTCATGAAGGAGCCGAAGGATCCAGCCGTAGCTTTGTCTGATCCTTCGGCTCTCTTCGGCCGCCAGAGACCTTTGGTTCAGTCAAGGCCGGCCGGAACCACCACAATTGACAGCTGGGCG